GATCTCCAGAGTGTGTGTGTGTGCAAACACACCAGCATCATGAGCAGACCCCAAACCTGCACTGTAGCCCACATGGCTGTTTGCCCTGCATGCAACAATCAGAGATGTAGCCATGAGGCTATGTCCATCCCTGAGGGGATGCTAAGGGGTTGTAACTGTGACATGATACACCATTACCTGCTTTCAATGGCCCAAGGCCCACCAATTTTCCCAAATGGTTCAGCCCCAAAGAGGGTGATGCATCGTGACTAATCAGTCAAGTGCCATGTGGTTAGTTCCTTATATACCACCATTAGAGAATGTGAGCAAGGATGGCTGATATGCTATTACCAAGTAGACAGCAGGCAATTCAACCCATTGGCTACTCTATCCTGTTCTGGTGTCAAGCCATAAGGTGCCAGTCAAGAGCTGAGTAGCCACCCTGTCCAAGCAGCTGGTGGCTCACAGCTTGAGAAATCAGTAAACCAGGAATCTTTAGGAATAGGGGATAACTCTCTTCCTAAGGGCTTGCCTGGTCTCTATCCCCTCAAGGGTGGGGACTCTTGGGCCCCCAGTCCTAGGACCTCTTGTAGCTCTCCTTGCAGGGGGCTAGTGGATAGAGTACTGCACTGTTACAGGTATGCCCCCAACTTTGTCAATGTAAGAGTCTGGGCAATACCCTCTGGGGTTTAGCAGTCAAATCTGTGACCCATACCACTATCAGGTAGGAGGACTTGCCCATAGGAGCTGTCTTGGTGATGTTTTCAGTGGCTATCACAACATAAACAATAGCCAGCTCTCTCTCAGTGAGATTGGCTTTTAGCCCCTTCCCACAGTTGGGTGTCCTATCCATCTCTGCTCAGGGGTCCATGTCAAGAAGAGGCTGGCTACCCCTCAATCCCACCCAGGAGAGCAGAGGGTTTCATACCAGGCTGCTGTGAATATTGCCAACTACACCAATTGTTCAGCTGCCCATCCTGGCTGGGAAAATTCATTTGAGATTTGGGTAACCCAAAGAAAGAACATGGAGCCATGGGAATGTCTGACATGCTTTTACTGTCTCAGTGGTATGGGAGACACTAAAGGATCCCACTCCCTTTTATATGATATCACTCAGGGCTGGCAAGCTGCCACAAAGTTTTAGAAAACAGTATTATGACTTGTATCTAGACGTCTCCCTACCCCCCTACCCCAATCCTCATGTGCTTACAGGTGGGACGTTTTGGAGCTGGCTGGATCTAGGGCTTGTGATACTGGGATTAAAGTGTTGGTAGTAAATTGGTCCACTGATTGGAATTAGCATAGTTCTGGAGGTAGATAATAGGAAGGTCACCCTGGGGGTGTGTGGAATCAATCAATAGGCCTTAATGGGATTTTAGGGGTAGAGAAAAAAGTAGGCTTGCTGTTTGCTTCTTCCTGCCTTCTGCCTGCCACACCATGGACTATTTCTCCTCTGTGATGACCATCTGTCATCTGCTGTTATGTTTCATGAGGGTATATTTTTACTTAGGGCCTGTAAAAAAAATCCTATATCAATAAAAGAATTAGAGAGGAGAAACAATATCACTTTATTGGGAAAGGAAGAGAAATGGGGAAGCAAAATCGTTTTACTGGGAAAAGGAGAGAAAATAAGTAGATAAATAGTAATCTTGTTGGAGTAAGGTAAACAGTCTAAAACTGTAACTCAAGGATCTTTACTCTAAACTCCTTTCATCACATTGCAAGGAAGGTACTCTTCCCCTTGAGAGTTGTTCTAACTTGATTGGCTATTTTGGGCTCTAACACCCCTGATTTGGCCATTAACCCTTCCATTACCTATGTGTACTTTTTTGGATAAGCACTTCTTTGGTCTCTTTGTGTTGTCCAGGTGCTTTTATCCTGTGAGACTTACAGCAGAGTTTCATTCAAGGCCAATTCAGTAAAAAGGATAAATGTGTACTTTAGTGTATTACTATGGTGAGAATAATAAAAATATATGTACTTAAATATACATGGGTGTCAATGTTTCAGTGATAGTGTATATTTTATATACTGAGTTTTTATGATATAGTCCCCCCCTCTCCTCACTTTGTTTTTGTTGTGCTTAATTGAAGATGTAGGGAGGAGGGAGTTGTGCCTCGGCATAAAGCAAGATGGGCCAGGATTGTCATTGTCAGTTCTCTCTTTTACTTAGCTTCTCCCTCCCTAGCAAGGGTTTAACTCTTTATTTGTCAGAAACCTCACTGAGGCTCTAACTTTTTGTCCCCGAATGTTCCCTATACTGTCCTGCCTTGGAGCCAGCCAACTATGGGCTGAAATCTCTACAAATCATGATCCAAAACAAACTTTCCTTCTTTATCTAGGTGGGTGTCAGGTATTTTGTATCAGCCATGAGAAAAAAATAGCAAAGACACATAGACTAATTGTTTACATGTTCACTGTGTATGCGCAGCCTACATAACATATGGTGAGTCACTAGCAAGTGTAAGATGTAGGGAGAAATCCTGAGACTCAGCCACGTTGGGTACCTTGACCACACACTGCTAAACACCTGAATGAGCTTGAAAAGGGATTCTCCAGATGAGAACACAGCCTGTCTGACATAGGCTCTCTGCAGTCCTGAACCAACCACCCAGTGAAGATGTGCTCTAATTGCTAACTCCTGGAAATAATGAGATGAGAAATGTTTGTGTTTTAAGTTGCTAAGTTCGTGTTCATTTGTTATGAAGCAATAAGTAACTAATAGAACACTGAGAAATAGGTGGATTGAGGGAGGAGGGAAACCTCTCTTTATGCCCATTCTGCTTCCAAGGTTTTGTGATCAGGGACAGGGAGAATTAAACTGCTATTATAAGGTAAGTGCCTTAACATAGCTGCCACCATTCTGATTAACAACTTCCTTCTTCACTTTAAATTCCATTTTCCTACATCATGTGTCACCAGTCATAAATGAGACCATCACGCAAGCAACTTGTCCATATAAAAAATAGATCACAAATAATGACCCCTGAGTGGCTGCCCGTGCAGCCGACACAATCCCCAACCCATCTACACCAGTCACCCACTCTATAACCAAGCCCCTTCCATGCAGTTCTCTCTATTCCTTTTCTTCCTCCTTCTCTGAGCGGGCCACCATGCCACAGCGGCTCTACAATAAAATCTCTCATATGAGCTCTCTTGGTGTGTGGAGTGATCTTTGGCAGGTGCTGGCTTCTTTCAGTTATGGGTAGAAAAAGGAAAATCAGGAAGAAAATATGAGCAGGGGAAGAGGAGATGATGATAAAGACTTTAGTCATGAAGTGCTTCATTGGGAGAAAATAAAGTGAGTGTGGCCATTTAAAATTTGAGAGCTGGGTTCAGGAAAGAAGTCAAGAAGAAACAGCTATCACCGGGCCTGGTGGTGCACGCTTATAATCCCAGAACTTGGAACACCGAGGCAGGAGGATCGCTGTGAGTTCGAGACCAGCCTGGGCTACATAGTGAGTTCCAGGTCAGTCTCAAATACATAGTGAGACCCTGTCTCAAAAAAGAAAGAAAAAAAGAAACAGCTGCAAAACAAGCCTGTTGTCTCACATAGTTGAAGAATGAAACTGTGAACAGAAAGGAGGTTAAAGGGGAATTGCTCACTGGGAATTTAAGAAGAAAAAAATAGCTCCGGTGAGTATACTGGAGGGTTCCTTAGTGGGTTGCTAGGGTGTTTCCTTTGTCTTGGTCTAATATAACAAGCAGAGAACCGAAGTTGTTTAGTTACCCAGTGATCACCTATCACAGATGGGTCTGTGGGTTTAGAATAATCAGTTAGGGTTTAAGTTTTATAAAGTTTAAAGAAAATTCCTTACTCAGCTGGCCAAATTGAAAGGGAACTGTATTCAAGGGAAACCAGTTACTCTGTATTTCTAAGATTCTCCAAGTCTACCCCAAAGGTAGTGAGTTGTTAATTAACAGCATATTTTACCTAAGAAGTTTTTTCCTTCAGAGTTAGAGTTCTTATCTGAATTCTCTTTATCTTTTTTTACTGTGTTTGCATTTACATTTCTAAGCTTAGCTGGCTGCCGGGCTTGGATTAGTTCCTACTTCGTGTATGTGTACTTTATTTTCTTTGTAACTAGCTGACTTAGGCTCTGTCCTTTACTGTCTATAAGTTAACTAAACTGTCTTTTACAAAGGCAGATGGGAAATTCAGCCATCATCAGTCTAGAGGTGACAAGTGAAGGCCTGAAAATTAAAAGTTGTCTAGAGGGAATTCAGAAAGGAGAGGGAAGATGAGGATTAGTGTGAAGAAAAGGTGTTGATAGAAGGGAGGAGAAACAAACCCAGGGAAGCCAGGGCGTTTGCAGAGTCAAAGCAAGGACTGCACCGAATGGGTTTGGTTGCACTGAATACCCCTTTTTCCCTCCAAGTGTAACTTTGGCAGGCAATGTACTTGACAGGAAAGCCAAATGAGGGTTTGATTGAAATATCTGGATAGATGCCATTCTAGCAGTAAGCGAAAGCTGCATTTGAATTCAGGTATCACACCAAAGCCCGAAAACTTTCTGTTACACATTTACTCCATCCTTATTATCCAAAGGCTAGCAAAAATAGTAAGAGGAGCCAGGCATGGTGGCACACGCCTGTAATCCCAGCAGTTGGGAGGCTGAGGCAGGAGGATCGCTGTGAGTTCGAGATCAGCCTGGGCTACATAGTGAGTTCCAGGTCAGTTTCAACTAAATAGTGAGACCCTGTCTCGACCTCCCGCACCCCCCAAAAAAGAGTAAGAAGAGGTTTAAGGAAGCAAAGAATGACGGTCAGTCTCTCAAGCGTCTGTCCACAGGTTGAAGTCAGGCTCAGCATACGCCGCCGTTCTCGATGAGGCCAGCAGAGGTCGCCAGGGCACAGGCTGCGCCTGGTTCAGGTGCGCGCAGGCGCAAGCGCATGCGTAGTCACTCCAGCTTGCCTTGGGGCTCCGGGCCGGCGGAGGCGAGGACTAAGGGAGGGCAGGGAAAAGAGCAAAAAATGAGAAACAAGACCTGTCAAGTAAAGTTAAAAGACAATAAGCAGCGCAGTGCGGAATCCGCTGGCCGCCGCGGAGCCATGGAGATCGGCACCGAGATCAGCCGCAAGATCCGGGTGAGGCCCGCGTCGAGCTGGGGGACGAAGCTGGGCCTTGGAGGGCGGTTGCCAGGAGTAACGGGGCCAGTGGGCCCGGCTGTGGCGTTTCCTTGTCCAGGCTGCTTCGGGCCTGGCGCAGACTAGGCCTCGGAGAGGGCGGCGGGTGGTGGGGTTGCGGCAGAGGAAGTGGCCGTCGGGAGCGTGCGGGCC